TTATCTGAAAGTCCACGTCAATTATTTTAATCTGAAAGTCCATGCGATGCTTGTCTCTCCATTCATTTTCTTCGCTATATGTACAAATTACAGAACAGATTGTCCGCTTCACGCTTAATCAGCTCCATGCTAAGATTGCCACGCTATAATAACACGTCACTTCACTTGTCTGATGATTTGATCGTCTCCGCCACATTTCTCTACACAAATAAGGCACCTTTAACAAATTACGCTGTTTATATAAGCTATACACGATTTAGCAGTCCAACGCGCTCAGTCAATGACGCCACGTCTGCGCTGCGGCGACAGCTAATTCGCAATTTGTCAATCGAGGCATACGTAAACAACAGCAGTCTTAGTATCGAACAAAAAAACGTTATATATAGTGGATATATGTAATCAACTGGATGCCAAATTTTTTTATAGATCATTCCTTCTTTCATCACTTAATTTCTCAAACGACGATAAATATTTTTAACTTTTAACGAAGCGCTCATATCCCCTTCAACCAAGTCATGTTCTCATAAGATATATTCCATTTACTTATCAAAGGTTCTTAATAATTTATCAAACATTTTATCGAGATCGCTTTGAATTTCGCTAAAAATATTTCATATCGTTTTTTGCCCGTCACAAAAGCAAGGAATAACATTGAAATCAAAGAATCACAATCTATCTGAATTCTATACGCTTAGCCTAATCAGGCTATCTACATGTTTAAGAGGAAAGCGATTTTTCCACTTTAAAACGTCATTTGTGCTTGTGGAATGCTTGAAAATAGCGTTGCACAACCGAAATCAGCTTAAGTGCCCAGAAAGAATTTTCTATTTTTTTTTTCCGCGCCATGCAATTATGATCTTTTATGTACACATTGAATTGACTGATAAGAAACTTTTTCTCAAAATAAAACACAATTTAAATACCAAAGAATTAATGCCAATTATCTATAAATTATGCTTTCTCCACATTTTTATCACAACCTATGATACGGAACAGGTTTTCTGACGCGGCAGACTGGTTTGAATATATACTTTTTGACCGGCACACAACCGCCGATTGGTCAACAGAGCTATTAAGTGTATGTAAAAATTGTGGAAGAAGTACCACAACACGTATCGAATTGATATCCCATTTAATCACCTCGCGAAAGAGTTTTAATTGAAACGCGATAGACAGAAAAGTTAGTCTTGATATTAAAGAGTGCCGTTTGCGAAATATTGATATCGATCATAGAGTTTAGTGGACCACGAATGAATGCTGCCTTCGACCAAATCCTCGACATGCCGACGCAATTGATCCTCCGTTAGCGTGAGATGAAACCTATTCTTAAGACCTTGAACAGTCGCTGCCCCACCGCTACGGAAACACGGAAGCTGAGAGCCTGCGGAAAAAAAAAAATCGATAAAGCTCGTGACATACGGGAGTTGAAAGTGCACGCGAAAAACGTACGATCTCGTTACTTACCCGACAACATAATCTCAACGAGGTTAACAATCTTCTCCATATGCTTCCGTGCCGCGATTAAGCCTTGAAGAATGAGGCTCTTAAATTCCTCAAAGAGTTTGGACTGATTGCCACCCATCACTTCGACAAATTCCGGTGTCAGTTTAAACGGACTGGTCTCGAAGCCGAGATTCCGCGGCGAGGTCGACAAGATAAATCCGAAATCTATGTGGATCAAATGGCCATCGCTGTGCAGCAGAATATTGCCATTATGGCGATCTTTTACTTGAATGAGATAACTGACCAAACAATACGCGGCGCAACTCTGAATGAAATTTCTCTGCGCAACGCGAAACGTATCTGAGGTAGAAGGTCCGAACTCTCGTTCGAAATATTGGAAAAGCGTTAATTGGCACTGCTTCTTCACTTGGTGGAGCGAGACGGTGTTCAAGATCGGCTCGATCAAACCACTGTCGTTGGACAGACATAGTATCCTGCGAAACAAAATCAAATTGTCATTCAAGTCAAACTATCGAATATTATTATAGTAAATTTAATAATTTAATATATTAATCTCTTCACAGTATACGTAACACAGGAAAAAAACATATGGCATACATGCACAAACCGATTTATCTTTTCGCTATTTGTATGAAACTTGGTATCCTATTAAGTTTTTTAAGATCGCTGAATCCAAATATAATATCAGAATTTCAAAATTTCAATTGACAGATCTAATATGATCAAAATTTAGAAAATTGGATGTTTATAAAAATAAATATTCCAAAATTGTTGAAGTTGAATTAAAATATATAATTAGAATTTTATTATTCTAAATAGCAGATCAAATTTTGCTCAAAAGAATCATTTAAAACTAATATTCAGTTGAACTTTATCAACAATATTATATCAATATAGAACAATCGTTTATAAATCCCTCTCCACTGAATCTAATAGACTTATGAAACGACATGACGAATTTTCACTGCATGTTTTTATTTTTTTATTTTTAAAATTATTTTATTTTTTCAACTTCAGTCCGCTATTTTAGATCCTCCATTTTACATTTTGAAATTCTGATATTACATTCAGATTCAATGACCTCAAAAACTTTAATACTAAAATCATATCGAAATTTAAGAAACTTTTTTTTCCATATAGTAGTGAAATCTCATTTTCGTCACACTGCGAATGGATAAACTGTATATATCAATTAATAGCGCACACAACTGATTTTTTTTTACAAGATAAAACTTTCTGGCGGTAACCCGCACTTACTTGTATGGCCGCACCCAAAGGGGCACTTGTTCATCTTGCCAAATTTTTTGCAACATTGAAAGCAGCTGCGAGGCGAGGAGTTCTTGTCTGAGATCATCACCACATTTCACAATCACAGCGAGTAATCTCCAAGATGCCAGATGACCATACGGACTGGAAGCTCTTATGCGTCGTTGCTTCTGCTCCCACGGCTCCTTGAGGACCGCCGCCGATGGATCTTCGGGATCGTGGTTAAAAGTCGCGCTAGGTGTAGCTGCCATTTCGCTCAATCTTCTCTTGATATCACCCGGCACGAAGATTGGCTCTCTGCTATCGGACGATTCTTGACTCAATTGCGATATAGTATCTCGATCTTTTGGTTTGCGAAGCTGCAAATACTAACGGAAACGAATAGAAAAATTAGAAATTTAACTTCAAATTGAAGAGATGTACGGTTAGTCGAAAATAGAAAACGCACCTGCTGTGTAATCTCGTCGTCCTCCTGGCTCCAACAATCATTAGGATCGTCATCGGGAAAATTAAATGCCACATCTGTATTTCTAACAGAATAAGGTGAGATATTTTTCACGGGAGTCTGTCGTACCGCTGAGTTTTGTTGACTGTCAGAAGTCGATATGTTGGATTGCTCGCCGCCCGTCAAGTTTTCTTCGGACTTGGTATGCCTCAACGAACTGCCCATTATTTTCGTCGGCACAGGTGATGTGTATAAATCCTCCACCTCTAACACTTCCACATATATTATATAGGGTGCCTAGAATAGTATCAACATCATATTCGAATGACGAATCTTTGAAGAAGGAAAAAAAAAGCGAAGCGAAATATCTGTACCTTATCCTTGCTGTTGAGTACGGCGGCGTATTGTGGCGGAACTCGCACGATATGATGCGGTATCGTACTGTGCAGAGGAAGCCACACCCTCGCAGGGAGATTCAAGTTAAGCGTATTGAGCTCCGCCACTAATTGAACGGTTTTACTTTCCTTTGTTGGGATAGTCCCGAGCAATTTACCAATTGATATTAGAGCTTGAATAAATTCGAGTTCTGGCGCGAGTCGGGGTGCCTGTGGCATACAATTTACCTCAAGGTATCACTCAGATACAACACCTGTTACTCTTTTTCCGAACGAGACTTGGATAACTTACATTGCAAAAACAATCGGTTTTTTGGCCTCGCAAATCGTTCACCACACCTTGGCAGGAATAGAAGCAGGTACAGCCGTTGTCAAACGCTCGACCAGAGCTCAGGTCCCCAAGACTTACTTTATTTATTATACCTTTTAAAAATACCATGAAATAATTGTTGTTGGAACAGTTATTGCGAAAATAATTTACATGGTATATAACTTATATCATTTTAAGATATTAGTTTGAATTACCGGAATGACTACGGCGTATAGTCTGGAATAATCCAGTAGCATCGGATTGAGATCTTTGGTGGGTTTTTTTATTCGGCGACGTAAGATTTTGCGTCGAGGGCAACGGTGATGGCGCAGGAACTTGCAATCCAGCGACACGCTGCTTTCGACTCTCATTTCCCTTTGGCCTGAAAAACGTTAACACGTTGTATTCAGAGATGAATTTGTATCGTAGATCTGCTGAAAACTCCCAATTGCTTTATCAATTTTACCTGAGTTCATCTGACAGGATAAGATTTTTCAATTTGGTCCCATGAGACTTCTTCTTTGACGGCAAATGAGCATCGGAGCTATACGCGTCTAACAGCCAGGCACATTTTAACGAGAAATCTGCCGACTGTCTACATCTGCAAGGCGATTGATTCGTTTTAATCCGTGCAAGTCTTACCATTGCGATAGTGACAAAATGCGCAATCCAGTGATCTTTTAATACACAACTTTTATACTTACCTATGGACAAGATATGGATAAAGGACTTCTGTTACATCGTGAAGTTGTATGTACATCACAACTAACTGCGGTAAGTAAAAGTCCACATCGTTATCCGGAAAACTGAACATCTTGTTACCTACAATCACGTCACATGTCACATGTATTATCAAATATACAGGACGCATTCACTAAAAAAATATTCATTTCGCGATATTTCTATCAACGGTAGTTGCAAAATCCAACATAAAAATAGAAACACGTTCATTCGAACGTGTGTAATGTCCGATGAAAATTAATTTTCTCTTTAATATCGATACACATTATTATACCTAAATAACTTTGAACGCCGGGTTCTTTGGAATTGAACAGATAGGATATAGCCATGGACATGTCGAAAATCTGGCTCTCAAAAAGCCGCAGCAGGCAGCCTTCCGACGGTTTCGGCTGTTTCGTCTCTTGTTGCTGCCGGCGAACGACATCCGACTGCTTCTTCACCGTCTCGACTTCCTGCTGCTGCGTCGCGGCTGTGCCGCAGCAGAGGGTCATGGCCGCTCCGGTTAACTCGCTCTGGCTGGTGTCGGCCACGGGCAACGGCGACACCATTTGCATAGCGCCTTGGTAGATATCGACGCGTTCCTGGTGCTGGTAATCCTGACGTTGATCGTCACGTTCCGTGTTACGTTCCCGCGCGTTCACATTCGGTCGCAATTCCTGCGAGCGACGTTCACCATCGTTCGCGCACCGGGACGATCACCGTTGGTCTCCTCGCTCCCGGGGGAGGCGGGAGATCCTGGACTGTCACTGAGACGCGTGGACAGTTCCACGGGCGACACAGGCACCGACATCGACACCGACACCACACCAGCACCGTTCTCCATACCGTCCACCACGTCGGCCGAGCACACGTCGCCCGGCTGCGACACGGACGAATCGAGGCTCTCGCGGCTGTGCAGATGATCCACGCTGGACTCACGGGTGGCGGGCGCGTTCGTGGCGTCGCTCGAGCCACTGTCGGAACCGCACAGGATGCCGGAGTCGTCGGAGCCGAGACTGACCAGGTCCTCGCGTTCCCGTGCGGTACGCGCGCCCTTGCCGCATGGTCCCGAGGACGATGACGATACCGTCGTCGTCTTAGAGACCGATGAAGGCGCGGGGTTCTCGCATTCCGGGCTTGGCGTAACGTCCACTTCCGGGATTCGTTGCAGAGCGGAATCCAGGCTCCGATTCCTGTGGTGGTGCGTCAACGTCGTTGCGGTCGCCTGAGGCACCGGCGGTAGTAGGATACCCATTGATCTAAGGACAATTATTGAGAATGATTTTATAATCCGATTATATTCCTGAATTATATATAAATTGTTAAATTATTAATAAATTGTTAAATTATTTTACAGATGCACGTTTTTAGTAGACACATATGAAGAAAATGTAAGAAAATGTGTTGCTTGTGCATTCCCTAGAATTTTTAATATCTGAAACGAGATAAATGAACGAGATAAATGTACGCGAACAAAGAAATAAAAAACGAGAAACAAAAGTGCAAGGAGCGCAAATAAATTTATAAAGGTAAAAGTATAGTTCTCTTAAAATCCTTATTCTAAAAATCATAGAACAGAATGTGATACGTCGTTTTTTTATTTATTAATATCTGCAATAAAATATAAAATGTTTGTAAATTTCAAAATAATAAAATTTCAATTTCAACTTCTTAATATATCAATATATTTATGATTTTTTATTGTTTTAAGTAGAATAAATGTTGACATATAAAATATCTCAGATAAATCTTATAACATCACATATTTTCAATTTAATTTAAGTTTTTATAATTTTACCGAGAATGATGATTTTTATTATATAATTTGTATTTTTATTATGTATTTTTATTAATAAAATAAACCAACAAAGATCTTATAAAGTATGTAGACAAAAGCACAAAATTATAATTTTTTTAAAAGATATATTTAATACTATTTGTATAAATTTTGCCGCAAAAACACTTTTAGAATTTGCTGATTTATGAAATATTTTTTATATTTCAAAAATTGTTTTAATATGTTAATATGCATGTGTAAAATTGTCTCAAACTTATCACCAAATATAATAAAATTTATAGTAAATTTTGTGCTAAATTATAACGAAAAATTTTCTCTATTCGTACATATATTTGCTTGATTTCTTCTCTATCTTATCACACGTGTTTTATTATATATATATATATATATATATCACACTAGTTATCGATATCCTTCCTGTTAGTCTACTCTATTCTATTTTGCGAGTCTATATTTAATAATACTCTGAATAATGTCGTCATCACTCGTGCGCTTTTCCTGCATTGTTTACTATTTCGTTGCATTTCTGTTTTTTTTTCTCATTTATTTTTAAACTCGTACTTTCCTCATTACTTTATGTTCTATAGGTTTGATATTTCTATCCATGTTATTATAGAACACAAATTATTTTTTACAAGTACACGTTTAAACTGTTCTTGTGTTTAACTTTACTCTCCGGTGAGTCCGCGTTTTAATCTTCACCGGAGAGAATCGTGCGCGCAAAACATCGTCCAGCTCCAGTTTCCAGTTGGCGAACTGCGCGAAAGCGCGACCAATGATAGAAAATAGATAGACGACGAGACCGCGCGTGATTATGCGATTATTACCGCGTTGCGGTTATTATTAATATTGATGACGTTGCCACGCCGCTATTATCACCGCCATCGCCGACAATTCAAATGTGACTTGACTTATTATATTTCTCCGATTTATATCCGTGACGTCGAAATCTCTCATCTCAACTTCTCGAGGCGAACGCTTCGAACGATCGCTTTTTATTCAACAAGTGCCGGGAAACGCGTCGGAGAGACGCGTGCCAGACGCGTGTCACAAATAGCTCGCTCGGCGGAGGGTGGTTTCTCGCTCGAGAAACGTACGGGAGATATCGGGAATACCCTCGGGATACCTGAAGTCCAAACTGTGGTTTCGTTGATGCGTGGTCAGTCTGCTGCGTGGACTGATCGACGGATTCGGCCGACCGTGCACGAGAGGAACATTACAGCCGGCCAGTTTGTGCCGTTTAATGTGCGTCACGCTTTCCTGGCGCGTAGATCCACCAGTCGGCGTCACCGCCACCACTTCGCTCATATTAGGGTCTAGTACGAGCACCGGCTCGGCTAACAGTCATCTGCTGGCCATGCTGGGGCTTCACCTGCGAAGCGCAAGAAAATCAGTCGTGTCTCTCGTTCCGATCGCGAGCACCGGAAGCACGCGTGACATTCTCGCAATGAAAAGAGAAACTGGAAAAAAATTGGAAAAGGTTAACACGCAAGAAGTAGACCGAGCCATCATTTTTCACATCATTTCTACTTTGAAAACTGATATCTTTTTTCCGTATTAAAGATACGATTCTCAGATTTTCTCAGGAGGTTTTCGTTAATTATTCGTTTTTATTTTGATAAAATATTAAAATCCTATTTTTTAATTTGATCAGAAAAATATTTATATCATATACATATATATATATATATATATATAAATTATATTATATTATTGTTTAACGTTAAAAATATTGAAATAATTATTTG